ATTCGTGATTCTGTTGGCTGGCGCCCCGATATCATGGAAAAGCAAGAGAAGCAAAGATCAGTGACAGTGACCCTATCCACAGTCGAAGCTGAGTATATGGCTTTGAGCAAAGTAGTTAGAGAAGTAGTCTGGCTGACTTACTTGGGGAACTGAAATTGAATAGGTACGCCGTAAGACCTAAGACCTGTTAACATCTATGTGGACAACATGGCTGCAATTAACCGCGCTAAAAATTCTGAAGAAAGAAGTGAGAGCAGCAAGCACATAGACCGGCCAGAAGACAAGCTCCACAACGTTGTAAATAAAAGTTTAAGTTTGTAATCTCGCGCCATACTGTAGTCTGTAAGACAGTCACTTGTTCTTTATGTTCTTGTCTGGTTTACTGTTAGTACTGTTTCCGCTTTGCCAATAAACTACTTCCGCACGGAAAAAAAAAGTTAGCTGCTCCAGCTTAACATTAGGTATGCGAGCCAAGAGTTAGCTGCCTGGAGGACAGACAAGAAAATTAGGAACAGTAGCTTATAATTCGAAATGCGAAATACCATTTGCTCGGACAACTATGTAGTTGGGCCACTACAGGGAACGTTTTATCTGCGACAGTCACAGATTAGCTCACGCACCGAATTAATAAGCTACTGTTCCTAATTTTCTTGTCTGTCCTCCAGGCAGCTAACTTTTGGCTCGCATACCTAATGTTAAGCTGGAGCAGCTAACTTTTTTTTCCGTGCGTGTACATTCTAACAGCCGTGAGTCGTGATTTCGTGATTCAGTCCAAACGAATAATCCTGAACAATCCTCAAAATTAGAACAACGAGTTATGGCGCCCAGCTCGCTCAACTGTGAAAGCGGATCCTAAGTGTTGGGAGACTGGTTATTTCTGCCTATAAGTGTTCTGTTTGTTATTTAACCCCTCATGCTTCGTGTGTAAGTGTCGCGCCCTACCGGCCGTGTATGTCAACCGTTTAGTTCTGAATAAATGCTCTCTGAGTTCACATCGTCGTATTAATTAGCCAACTACTCTGACGAATATCTGATTGACTAATCAATACTAAGAAACATTCGTGGATATTGGACTTGTGTCGTTTTTGAAGATTTTCGTGAAAAATCTCCTTTCAGTGTTGTGACTTAACCTCGTGTACTCATCAACTAATCAAAATAAATAAAGTGAAATACAGCACGACTACCCCTGGAATTGCTAAACTAAAAGGGAGTAGTAATTATGGCACTTGAAAGACGGGCATGCGTGTGGCCCTCAAACGTGATGGGCTGTGGTCAGCTATCGAACCCCGTGCGGGCAGCTCCTCTGAGGACGAGGAGGTCAAAATTCTCCGTGATGAGCGGGCGTACGGAAGCATTTTCGTGCATCTCGAGTCGGGTACGAAACTTCACATCGGGGAGTGTTCGACTGCAAAGGAAGCGTGGGACACCCTGAACAAGCAATACGAAGCCAAGACTACAAACAGGCGTTGTTTTCTGCTGCACCAGCTACTGAATTTGAAGCTACGAAACTGTACATCTTCTGAGGACTATTTGGACAAGTTTCTGGACATCTCAACGCAGCTGGCGTCAATTGGAAAGCCCGTGGAGGATAAGATGAAGGCCTGCATGTTACTCATCGAGCCAGAGTCTTTTTCGAGGGGGCCACCACTTCGGTTTAGGATGTACACAGGATTACGCGATTACAGGGATTACACGCAAACTTTGAGGGATTACACGTGAACTTAAAGGTATTACACGTGAATTTTGTTGAAGTTCTGGCTCTAAAACCAATTAATTTGGACAGTAAGGTTAAATTTAGTGAGAATGTTCTAAACAAATTCAAGAATTACACGGAATACATGAGGATTACATATGGATTACACTCTCGTACACAGGATTACGCAAATAGTGCCCCCCTCGGTCTTTTCAACCGTTTAAAATGGCAGTAGAGAACTCGTCAGACTTCAGCTACAACAGTGTGCTGAAAAAGCTAACCGATATGGGGGAGAAAGAGGCATTAGAAAGATTCACTAAAAGTTCATCGGGTGCTGCCTTCTACAGCAACAAAGGGGGAGGGCAGAACCCAAGCAAAGAAGAAACTCACGCGTAAGTGTATACCTAAATGTTTCAAATGTCATAAACCAGGTATCATTTTATAAAAGACTGTCCAAAGAAAGGAAAACCAACTTGTGGTGATGGAGGCGGTGGAATGAGTGCTAACATTATTAAGTCTAACAAACCTGTGTCCTGGATCACTGCTTTGAACACAAAAGTTGAGTCACAGGTTTGGTATCTCGACTCATGCTGCACGGACAATTTATCAAGGCACAAAAGTAATTTTAAAAGTCTTTACGATAAGGTAATAATAAAAATGTGACTGTTTCAGACATTTCCACTATTAAAACAGCTGGGTTAGGTCGTTGTGAATTTAAAAGGCTTTGGTCAGAGAACAATTTCTGACGTTACATATGTTCCAAAATTGTCAGCTAATTTATTGTCAGTAGCGAAGCTTGCTGAAAAGAACCAAGTTTTGGTCTTTAATAAATTTGGTTGAAAATAATTATGATGGTAAGAGTTTCTCTGGTGATGTGTTTATGTTCAGGGGTGGCCCTGTTGCATAGGGGTCGAGAAAGCAAAGATTAGTTGCAGACTCTACCAATGAGTCTGAGTTCATTGCTATGGTCTTGGGTTGCAAGGCGGCAATGTCCCTCAAGCAGCTGTTAGAGGAACTGGGAGAGCTCCAACCCAAAATAGAGTTGTTTTGCGACAACATGTCTGCAATGAAGTTAATCCAAAAGAAGTGCATTAATGGCAGAACCAAGCACATCCCGAGAAAGAAACTGTTTGTGAGGCAGTTCATTCAGTATGGCCTGATCTCATTGCGCTATGTTCAATCTAAAGAAATGAAGGCTGACATTTTAACAAAGGCCTTGAGTCCAGAGAAGCATGAGTATTTGCGTCGGGAGATTGGTCTTGATGAAATCTAGTTATGCAGCCCGGGATTAAGGGGGAGTGTTGTAAATAATAGTTTCAGTTTGTAATCTCGCGCCATACTGTTTATAGTCTGTAAGACAGTCACTTGTTATTTATGTTCTTCTCTGGTGTACTGTATGTACTGTTTCCGCTTTGCCAATAAACTACTTCCGTGTACATTCTACCAGCCGTGAGTCGTGATGTAGTCCAAACGAATAATCGTGAACAATCCTCATAATTAGAACAACACACAAGACTGGCGCTTGGACACGCCCAACCCTGATTCTGACTATTACTTGTTTTGTTTGAATTACCTGATCATGACATTAATTTTGTATTCCAGATTAGTCATTGTATTTGTATCAATCGAGGACTGAATGTTAAGATTGATTACTTTTCCGTCCTGCTAGTAAATGTTGTAAACTTAACCACATTTTATTTTCAGCGTCATGTTCCGTTGCTAGCATGACTTGTATTTTTCATATTTTTTATTGTTTATCATGTAAGTTTCTTTTTTCAAAACCTTTATCAGTATTTTCATATTTGATATTGTAGTGTATCCTTACTTATCCTTCAAATGTATCCATGAAGAAGAGATGTCAGACGGTCAAGTCGGTATGGAGTCTTCGCTACATTATTCATTCGTATATTCATTTTGTCATTAGTGTTTCCACTTTCGCTTGTCTGTATTGTATGATGGCAATTTGTCCAGCGTCGTCCAGTAAACAGTGAAAGTCATGCAGATAATTGTGTCGTCTCAATCCCTTAATATCTCAATAATCCTGACAAGTCAACAATCTCACTATGGAGACAAACAACAGACAAAACTAGATTCCGTGGATCGTCAGGGTCAAATCTCATGGGTGCTCTAAAAATCTGAAATCGAGCAGCCATAACACCAAAGGCATTTTCAGAACAAAGACGAGCTCTACTCAATTTACAATTGTATTTAAAAGCACTCATGGGGTCGTCAGTGGTATGGATAGAGCTGACACTCCTTAAACGTATCCATGCCAAAAACGTGATGTAGCTCGCAAGTGGACGGCTCCGGGTGTTTTGGGAGGTGTACAAAATTTGATACTCCGTGATGTACAGGGCTAGAGTGTGATTGTAAGTTTTTTTTTAATAAGAGGTAGAACTTAGACAAAGAATCTCTCGACTGTGGTACGAGCCTCTTCTGTGCCGCATTTTTCAACTGGATTTACTCGTATTCTTATGGGAGAGAAGCTCTTAGAACGGCTCTCTCTTGCATAATTTTTGGATGATTGTCACTCAAACATTGGCATACATTCTTCATGCCATTTTTCTACGTACTTTCGACATTGTGAGTCAGTAGTGACACATTCTACTTGTGTTAGAATGCACTATAACGTATAATGGAACTAAATTAAAGAAGGTTCGAAAATTCGTGAGCTACCAATGTTTTGACTACCGAGTCTAGCGTCGCAGCGCCCCAGCCAGATATGCGTCGACGTTACTTACGTTGACGTCGAATCAACGTTGAGAAGACCAAAATATGGTCCGAAATTTAACGTTAATTTAACTACGTCGTCTTAACGTTAAATCAACTTTCCATTTCTGGCTGGGCGCAGCAGTGTGTCGTGTGATATCTCAGAACCTGTTACGCGAAAAGTGATATTCTGAAAACGTCGCAAGTTTTACACACTTTACAAGGCAAAACCAGTGGGAGAAAGAATGTATATTTGGTTTCGTTGCCCTTGGCATTTTTTAGCACCAACAGGGCAGTTTTTGAACGGACGGGCAATTTTGTCAAAAAAAATGAGTCCGGGATATTTTGGCGTGTTTCAAAACAACGAAGATTTCTTAACATTAGACCCTTTTAAAATGTGTTTGCCCCTTCCGCTTAGTATCCGTGTCTCACGCAAGGACCGAGGCGTTGGGTCTAGTTGACGTAAAGCTTTGGTGGATACAGAGTGGTGCGGATCATAATTTGCTGATATGGTTTGCAAAATATGCCGTTCGCCGGAAGGTGCTTATTAGGACAAAAACACTGCTAAAACCTGTCGTGATCCACGGACAGATATTGATGTTTGGCCAGACTGGCGCAGAGTAGAAAAAATTGTACATGTTACGACGAGGGAACGATAACTCTGTCATTCTGCCGTCAACTGCTGGCGTGTTTTACACCATGCAATTTCGAGCCTTCGCTTTGGACACTAATAGGATGGCATAAAATTCCACTCCCTCTTTTTTAAAGGTACATAAATTGAACCTTCCAAAAATAAATGGAAAGTTCTGACTGTCGAATTCGATGCCCTCTAACGACAAAGTCCGATGTGTTGCGCTCCGGTTACACAAAGTTCGATCTGTTTCGCTCCTGTTACACAAAGTCCGATCTGTTCCGCTCCCGTTACACAAAGTTCGATCTGTTCCGCTCCCGTTACACAAAGTTCGATCTGTTCCGCTCCCGTTACACAAAGTTCGATCTGCTTTTGGCCACTCCCGGGAGACCCAAGTTTAGAGCGCTACCGCAGTTTTGTTGTTGTGGCATTCAATTTTTTCTTTAGAGTAAGTTGTTCTTCAATCTTTTAGCAACAGACAGCAGCGTTTACTTTTTTTCTACCGGTAATATTAGCGAAAATATAAACATAATAAGACCGCGATGCAGA